TAATTGCCCTAAATTAATGGTTAGCTCACTTATAACAGGAATCTGAATATATTCTGTAACCCCATAGAAATCCAAGCTTTCACCGGTTCCATTGGAGCCGACAAGATTTTAACTTACTTGACTTACAGAGCCTGATGATATTAATGAGGCCAAACCACAGTCGGAGACACGCACACCAAGATCATCATCAAGGAGAACATTCGCGGACTTGAAGTTTCTGTGGACAACTGGTGGCTCGCAGACCTCATGCAAATACCTTCTCATATAACACAGTGGCAAAATTAGTAGTCAAATGATTCATAGACTTTTATACCAACAGTCATGCAAAGATATAAAGTTCAATAACCATCAAATAATCCACCAACTAAAAAATAAATGTGAGTAAAAGAATCCATATATGTTTTCATTCCGTGGTTAATTGACTTACTCTAAGGCCCTAGCAGCTCCAAGTGCCATCCTAATGCGAGCATTCCATGATAATTTCCTTTTAAAGTCATCATCTGTGTGCAGAACATCATGCAGTGTACTGTTACTGCAATACTCATAAATAAGAAGCCTCTGGCCATGCTCTGCACAGTAACCCACGAGCCCAACAACATTAGCATGTCGGATTCTATCTATATTGTTTACCAGTTCAATGAATTCATCATCCTTCTGGTGATCAGAGGCTCTCTTGTCCAATTTCTTGACAGCAAGTAACTACAAAAGCTCCAACAACACATAAGGAATCAGAATCAGAAGCAATGCTATTGGTCAATGGACAATTAGAGATTTAGAAAAACAGAGAGCAAAAATATTTCCAAACTGACAAATATGGGTATTTCTCATACGCCAAGATTATACCTCACAACAAACCAAGATTATACATAACTCATAACAAGAGTCATTATGGCCACTACGTGTTCAAAACAATTACACAACACAACATTGAGCAAATTAAAGCATTAATTTCCCCTGAAATCTATCTGATTCAGTATGAACTTAATTCAATAAAAATACAAGGTTGGAAATAAACACAGAAATGACTGGATAAAATCATTTTTTTGTGGAACAAAAAACATTGAGCTTATTGGAACAAGCTGGTGAAGGTAGCGTACTAGTTGATAGAAGAGGATTTGTGAAAGTAGCCAAGAAGTTTAAGGTTACAAACAAGTGGCTGAAATAAAGAAGTAGCTCAAAAATGCAGAAAAGTTTTCAGTTAATGAAAGCCAAAGATAGATTAAAGTACTTCCTAAAAGTACCCCCCACCTAATCGATCAGTAGTGTGAGTCATAACCATACCTTTCCATCTGGAAGCTGTGCCTTATAAACACTTCCTAGCATGCCAGCTCCTATAAAATTTTCCTGAGAAAAGCTGTTTGTATATTGTTGAAGAGATGCAATAGTAAAATGCCTCACAGAAGTCGCAGGATTAAGACTTTTGGTTGAAGGCTTCATAGCAGTCACTTCAGCAGGTGCAACTGGCTTGACAATAACACTCTCTACGGGTGGAGGTGGTGGTGGAGGGGGAGGGGGAGGAGGTGGTGGTGGAGGTGGAGGTGGAGGTGGAGGCATCAACATCATATCAAGTCCACTCATGTCTATCTCATGACTCTCCAGCCTTTCCATTCTCCCTGCTCCTTGTGGAATCCTGTCTTGCTCCTGCTGCCGCTTTGGAACTGCTCCCATCCTCATCTCTGTTTGATGATTCTTTGGCTTCGCAGCTGCCTCCTTTTGAACTGTTCATATAATTCATGAAGATATCACATCAATAGTAGTACCCAAA